TCTTTTTACCTCTAGCTGTTCGAACTAAATGCCAGAAAAGCTTTTGATTAGCTCGAAAATTTCTAGAGAATTTCCTTTCATACTCATCCTTACATTCCTCTTTCTTTTTGCTTACTAATTCTTTAACTTTCTTTTTCATTACATCATACTTCTCTTTTGCAATTTTTTCAATGTCACTTACATTACCTTGCATTCTCTTATTAGCTCTGGTAGCTAACAAATCCATCCATGCCTTTTTCTTTAGAGCCACCATTTCTTTCACTTCGCCATCCCACCATACATTCATTCTCATCTTAACATCCTTCCTCTTACTTACACCACAAACTTGAGTAGCTATATCAAAGATTCCGCATTTAAATTCCTTCCAAAATTCTTCTATCTCATAGTTATCTTTCTTCAGTAGCTCTCTAAATCTTTCATTCAATCTTTCTTGATACTGATTTCGAACCTGTTCTTCTGTCAGTCTCTCTACTCTTACTCTTTCTATTTCTGACATACGAACACGTGGACGATGTCGCCATTTATTGAATAAGCCACCTATTCTCGATATCACCAAAAAGTGATCGGTTCCGACATTCGTACCACGATAGACTCTTGTATCCTTCACTTTCGCTCTCAATCGTTCATCCACAACTACAAAATCAATCATACTTCTCTCAGTTTGCCTTTGCCATGTATACATATGAATCAGTTTGTGACTAAACAAAGTATTAGTCACCACCAGATTTCTCTCCAGGCATACTTCTAATAAACTTTCACCATTTTCATTCACTCTTTTATCTCCAAACATTCCTAAATTCCTTTCATATCCATCGCGACGGATTCCCACCCAGCCATTAAAATCACCTATCAAAATAATTCTTTCATTCTCCTTACATTTAGTCATAATCTCTCTTACACTATCCCAGAAATCCTCTCTGACCTTTGGTGGCTTGGACATATCTGGGGCATAAGCGCAAAGGAGAAAAATACGGGTCAAACCAACTTTCAGTCGTATCCAGAGGAGTCTAGGACTTACAAATTCAAATTCTTTAACAGATGCATTCATTCTCTCTGACAAAATAACTCCCACTCCTTGGCTGCTTCTTTCAGAGTCATTAACTCCAGACCAGTACCCAGTATATCGGTCATAAATAGTAATAGAGCAGCCTTTCTTTTTTGTTTCACTTACTCCTAATACATCAATTCTTCTTTCACTCATCATCTCACATACTTCGTCTATTTTACTATCCATACCTCCACAAACATTCATCGTTGCAATTTGGCATTCCTTTGCCCTCTTTTTGCCATTTGGGGAAACAGGGGGGACATGACGTGACCCGTGGCATAACGCATCGCCGTCGATGAGAAATTTGTCCCCTCCAGATACGATGGGACTGCCTGAGTTGCACTCAGGGACGGATTCTCCGGCAGTACCGGTACCCTCCTGGGGTAGTTGCGTTTTAATTTCTCTTATCATTTTGAAAAAGAACTGCTCTTCTTAACATCGGATAGGGAAAGGAAATAGGTTACATTGGGAAAGGAATAGGTTATAAGGAAAGGAGGTGATAAGTGGAAAGGAACTATAGGAAAAATGGGGGATACTACAGCTACGGAGAGGACATAGGTTTTGTAACTGTAGTAGCTATGGAGGCCGGGGTTGCGTACCCGTATGCCCTTACTCCACAATCGGACAGATTAATAGAGAGGACATCCCATGACCAAACCCAAGATCAATTTTCTATTTGTTTTAAATGTATGATGAATAAAAAAGGGGCCAATTCTGAGGCTGTGTTGCCATTACATAGTTACCTATTAATAACTGTGTTCCACAAAAAAATTTGGTACAATTTCAATTGTGGTAAAACTAGTTATTTCGTTTAAAACTAAACTATTAAACGGAACCGATTTAATAGTTTAGTTTTAAATATATAATAAAAATCCTATAGGACCAATCTGTAAAAAAAAAAAGAGGCGAATAAGTGAAATTAACAGTCAAGGAACAGGTAGCAACGTCCTTCTAAAAACAAAACCAACTAAGTGTGGTTGCCAACCCAATGCTAAAGGTGGCAACTACAGTGAAGGCTGTATATAAGCAAGCTCTATATAAGCAACATTCTTTATATTTTATTTATTCTACTCAGCTTAGTTAGTAAAAGAAATAAGTAAAAATATTTCCCAGATAGTAAGTTTTTTTTTTAAACAAACAAGAACAAACAAGCTGACGGCCCACCTGATGGAAAGTGGTAACCGTCGCCTATAGACATGAGCAGTACCATGCACATAACAGAGTATACTGTTTCGACCATGATACCCCCATGCGTTGCCATTCCTGAGGACTCAGGTGTTATTCCTCTGTACCCTGTATTTTTATACTACTTTTTTTTCCCTATAAGCAAGTTTTTCCAATAAGAAATTTTTCTATTGAAAATAGGGTCAAATGAGTTGCTTATATAGAGCGTTCAATGTACAAGCAAAACACCCGATTATGTGGGAGACCTACGTTCAGCAGTGGACTGTAAATGCTTGGTATGTCAAAGACAACTATTCTATGTACTATAATAAACTAAAATTACGATAATTTTGTCTTAAATCTATTTAAAAATTAGTTCATATTGTTCCTTACAATAAATATTTGTAATTCGCTGTAATATCAAATTGGGACTTTTATTATTAGACATAGATTTAATGACTTCTTAGAATCGACCCCAATATTCATGCTGACGCTATCGGATCATTCCTATCAGTGTTGCCTACTCATCGTTGGCTATCGACAGTTCGAATTGGGTGAATCAATTTCATCGAGAAGGGATTGTTAGTAATGCAAGCTACCAGTCCCGTGCTAGCAAAAAAAACCCTGTTAAATTGACCTCCAAGTAATCCCCATTGGAAACCATCGTGCTGAATTCCTGGTGTATTCATCACGATGGGCTAACTGGCCTGCCTTTCCATTCTGAATTGGCAAATTGAGTGCTGAAGGTCTACCATGATATGTATTCCGAAATTTCAGGTCCGAGTGAATCCCAAATTAGATGATAAAATTACATGATATATATATATATATATATATATATATAATTTTAGCATTAAAAAAAAAAAAAAAAAAAAAAAAAAAAAAAAAAAAAAAAAAAAAAAAAAAAAAAAAAAAAGAAGCGTTATTTAAAAACTTGAAGTTTTTTAACTAGAAAACATTTAGTTTTAAAACTATCTATTTAAAGCTCGCCGTTATAAAGTAGAGGGGTAGGTATCGTTTCAAAAAAGTTAATAAAACTTTTAAAAGAGTGGACATAAAATTTTACAACTTTTCGATGAATTTAAAGGTTTCATTAGAAAACATTAGCTAAATAAAACCAATTACTCACTAAACAATTCAGATTCAGACGAAATGTTAATTTAATGCGCTGCATATAATGATCAAGTTGCATACAATAGAGAATTAGATAAGGAATTGTCATAGATTGATTAAAAAAATAAAGAAGTGTCAGTTCTTCATCTTAGATGTAGACACAGAAAAATATCGTACTAATATAATAATTATGGCAGTCTATGGAGGAGGAATGTTTATCAGTGGACGGATTTTAGCTGAGATGATGATGATGATAGTAAAATTGTATTTAGTTAATGTCTGTACATGGGAGATGTTTAAGAAAAATTTATATGGGGGATATCAATAAGACCAATATATGGCAAAATAATATTTTTTAGAAATTTTGTCTGTTTGCCTGTGTGTATGTTTGTTTTAATATCACGTAAAAACTATTACAGGAAATCAGATATGGTAAGTATAAAGTAATATTCTTGAAGGTTTAATTTAAAGTCTGGTATATGATTTATCTAGATACACTATCTATAATTGGTTTATTATATTATTTTTTCTAATTCTGAAATCCATGCGTATGCAGTTGCGGGTAAAAAGCTAGCAGTGAAAATAAAGCTAAACTGTCGCTACATTACGACTTGGCCAAGGTTATATTTTTTTGGGAACCTATTGAATATTCAGATTTGTAAATTAAATAAACAATAATATTAATTTTGTAATCTTAATATTCACAAATTTGCATTTAAACAGGAATGGCCTCCATCCAAATATCCTTATCTCTTTAGTAATTTAACTGACTGCTATTTTATATTTGGATCATATTTAACTATCTGTCTATCTTCTCGCCAAAACTGTTTTTTTTTTTATTTAACCAGTAATAAAAAAAGACTTCAAAAAACGTGTATCTCAGATCACAGCTTCGACAAAAGTGAAATGTAAAACATAGAAGAAATGTAAAACAAGAGAAATATAATTCTATTTTAAAAAAGGTATATATGAATATAAAAAAAACTGTCAGATACTCCCACTGAAGGTTTAACACAACTAGAATGGTGAACAGGCAGACGGTCCACCTGATGAAAAGTAGCCTTAGCTTATAGACATGAAAATTATCATGGACTTAACAGAGTATACTGTTTCCCCATGCGTTGCTATTCCTGAGGGCTAAGGTGTACCTCTGTACCCTGTAAATTCACTGCCATATCCCACCATATGCCAATTGAATGGGACAGAGATGCCCAAGCAAACGACCTTTGTACAAAGTCTTCCTCTGTTGCGCGGTGGATAGTGAGAACTGAGTGCTAACAACCTCTCTCCTTAAATACGAGTACATTTTTTCCTACTTGCATTTTCATAACTCATGCATGCAGGCATATTCCGGAGCCTGTTGACTCCTTCTTCAGAAAGGACATATTTGTCTGATTGTAATAGGTTAGTCTAGGTCTCCTTCGGTGCTGTTGGGACTCGGTGGACTACGAAAGGGAACCCGGGTCCCCAACACTATGGCGCGGCGAGGGATGCCGTGGTGGTTTTAGCCGGTAGGAGTCTGGCAGTACTCATACGCCTCGCCCGGGGCGTTTGGTCTGCATGATGCATTTCCTCACGGAAAAAAAGGTCTTCTTCGGTAGTTATATCCATCCATATTCACATTTTTTATTATAAAAATGTATCAAGTAAAAATAATTTTAAAGTAGTGTCTTACCCGTAGAGTTGCGAATTCTTGTTGCATTTATTGGACATCTGCAAATTAATTAAATTCATCTACTTGAAACTGTCTATTTGAAATTAAATGAATTATATTTATAACTAGCGGCCCATCCTGGCGTCGCACGGGTGGACATTTTTAACATTTCCCTTCACAGCTCTGCTCCTATTGATCGTAGCGTGATGAAAAGTATACTATAACCTGCCCAGGAGTATGAAGAATAATTGTACCAAGTTTCGTCAAAATCTGTCGAGTAGTTTTTGTTTCTATAACGAACATACAGACAGACAGACAAAATTTTACTGATTGCATTTTTGGCATCAGTATCGATCACTAATCACCCCCTGTTAGTTATTTTGGAAATATATTTCATATACAGAATTGACCTCTCTACAGATTTATTTTAAGTATAGATTATAATAATTATCTGCCTACCTATTCCTACGTACCTGTCGTAACGATATACCTAAGTAGATGTACTATATGTTTGCTTACTTACTACAATAATACGGGAAGGGGAAAGGAATATGTTTACATTACCTGTTCGAATTAAATAGCTACTATACGTCTCAAATAAGGAGGTATATTTTTAATTTATTCGTTTGCTCAATGACGTCATTAAAGTAGTAGTAAAGTATTTTTTTTCTTCGTTATAGTATGTTCGAAATTTGAAATTTGAATGAATCGAACGGTAAAATTTGCCAGTGCAAACTTTGTTGCCAAATTCTGATTGATCCGTTTTGTTTGCGTGATCTATGAACATTGTTAGTTTGTTTTCTGTCCTAAGAGAATAACGTACTACAATTCAAAGGCTGAATAGTTGTGAAGCAACATTATTTTATATTAAAATTTATCTCAATTTATCTTTATCCGTTAAATTATTTCGACGTTATGTGACAAATATATGAGCTTCTTATATATATTTTTATTCTGTTCTATTTAGAAACGACTTAAAAAAAAAACAAGTACACAGTAGTAGTTTTTACACTTTCAATGCATTTGTTGTAAATTTTCTCATGCTATGTACATTATTTCTGTTAATTTTTATTTAATTAAAGTCGTTATAGTTTCTTGATTACTTCGTATTTAGTTACACTCTAAATAAACTTTTTTGTTGCGAACGAAATTATGATTTCGATTACAAATAAACAATTAAAAAAATATACATTTTGAAAATAAAGAAGTACGTTATTTTATCAAAAAATATTAATTACTAGTAATCCGGGCTGGTTTCGTACGGATAGATAGAATTTTTGAAAATAATATACTTGCTGAAAATTTATCTTTCTACAGGTGAACGAATATTAAAAGTCCCTTTATAATATTAATATAGACATAGACTAGCTGATCTAACAGACGTTCTATCAAAAGCTAATGGATTCAAATCTTTAAACTGGCAATTAAGAATAGTTTGTACCTATGGGGAAATGAGAAATGAATCAATTTGTCAAGGCTGTTCTCAATTTTTGTGCTTAGCAACATATTTAGCCATCCATTTTTGTTTATAAAGATATAACTCTTCAGTGCCCACAATCTCAACAATAAACAACCCATTGAAGCCACTCTGATGATAATAATTAAAGATCGTGTTTCACAAAAAAAAAAAAACCGACTTCAATTGTGACAAAATCAGTTATTTAAATTTAAAAACTAAACTACGAAAGTGATTTTGATAAAAACTCTATACAACCAATCTGTAAGTATATCCTTTAAGAAAAAAGAAACAATTTTCCAAATCGGTTAAGAACGGACGGAGTTATGAGGAATCAAATATAAAAAAAATTACAGTTGCAACGAGAACCTCTTTTTTTAAAGTCGGTTGAAAACTAAGAGTATTTCTTCACTTACGTTTGAAATTTTATTTCCAGTATACACTGGTTTAGCTAGATAAATCTTCAATATACTGAAATAACAAAAGTGTTTTATAACCAATTTAGTTTACGCAGTATCCTTACAGGTATTAATACAGGTATTCCCTTGTTATATAAATTGAGGTATAAATAAATTTCTTATATAGCATTATAGATCTGTTACAGTTCATTTCAATAAAACTAAATAAAAAGCTAACAAGGATTTATTGAAAATATCACGAAAAATCTCTAAATTTAATTAAATTAAATTAATAATGAACATCTGAATTTTCTCTTACAAACGCTCAGTTTAGTTTTGCTGTAGAACGAGCTCCCTGCCGAGATTTTCCCTAGAGACTACAGTATGGAGATTTTTTCAAGATTCAAGATTTTATTTATTTGTAAAACATGCGTATAAATACATGCAGATGTTGACAATATAATATCGTTCGACATGTTTAGCCAAAAATGTGTACACAGATAGTTCATACAAAAATGTGTAGTTACGCATGATAGTTCACATTATACATCAAGTCCATTTTATACCATTAATCGTCATCACATTCCAATTTTAAATACATTTAAATAAATAATAATTGACAGGCAAGAATAAAAGAACGATGTCACAATGATGTTAATAAATATAGTTGTTAGTGTTGCAGGCGTCCACAGGTTGGAGTAACCATTTACCATCAAACTGGCTGTATGCTTGTTTGCCACCTTCGTGCTATAAAAAAAAAAGATTAAAGGTTCTATTTTATTATTTATTTATTTATATTATTTAATATATATATATATATATATATATATATATATATATATATATATATATATATATATATATATATATATATATATATATATATATATATATATATATATATAGCAGCAGGACAGCAGCGTTCTTCTTAAAATATCACCAAAAGCCTGCTGCTGTTGTCAACCCCCCTACCAAACGTGGCAACTACTACTACTGGTTTGGTAGGCGGGTTGACAACAGCAGCAGGCTTTTGGTAATATTTTAAGAAGAACGCTGCTGTCCATACCTCCACCATAAGCTTTCTTAGTCGCCTTTTACGACACCCACGGGAAAGGAAGGGGTGGCCTATTCTATGCCAAGACCTACAAGGCTTATATACTATACATTAAATATACTAATTAGATAATGAATGAATTGATATTATAACAATACTTACTCAAGGTTTTTAGATTGCATTCCTTTTGTATTCTTTCGAATTATCTGTGTAAAAAAATATTCGACTTTTAATAAATATTTCTTTATATTTACACAAACGTATGAAACCCAGAACTTTCCTTTTGAACAGTAGTTGAAATAACATCTTAACAATATGATTTAGATACGCCGCGCACGTTATCTTTCTTATCACACGTAACTTAGTTCACCTTTTACCGGCGCTGTAAAAACTGGGTAAAAGTGACACTCCAGCCAAATCAATAATAATATTACGTTAAAAAGTTGTTTTTTTTATTTTTTTTTTATACAACTTAGAATGGCAAGCGGTAATCGTCGCCTATATGCATGAGTATAACGGAGTATACTGTTTCGCCCATGATACCCCGCATGCATTGACAACCCTGAGGATTCAAGTGTTCCATCCCTAGAAATTCCTCTGTACCCTGTAAATTTATTGCCATATCCCATCCTTCCAACCGAAACACAGCCAAGTAAATACAACTGCTTCACGAAATCTCCCTTTGGTGTATTTTAAGAATAAAATTAAAAATTATGATAAATTAACTAAAGTATACATATTTTACATATTATATATTTATTTTATATATTTCATTTTATTATTATTTATTATAATTTTATATATATTTTTAGCAATATAGTAATATCGATCAAAATATTTTTTTATAAATATGATCTTTAAATATCATCAAAGTCTAACTGCGGTTGCCAACCCGCCTGCTTAGCGTAGCAAAGATTGGCAATCCAACAAGGGGAAGCAGTGGACAGTTAACGGTTGATATGATATGATGATGATGATGATGATGATGATGATGAAGTGGGGTACATTTTATCAGTATTTGTGCACTCATAAAGGAAAATACATGCGTGTCACTTCTACCTAGATTATTTATTCTAATGCTGGTGCCACAAACTTTTGTATGGCAGGAGATTTCAGCGAAGTAGTTTGTAAGTAGTTTTAAGTAAGTAGTTCATATGGAACCTAATTTAGTATAGTAAAAAGTAAATTTTGTCTTATAAAGAAAAGTGTAATTTAATTCGTGAACCCATACAATAAATTGATAAATGATGAGATGTTTTGTGGACATATCAGTTTGAAAATATTTGAATTTAGAAAGCGGAAATGTGTATATACAAGTTCCCGCGTTCTAAATTCAAACATGTTTACTACGCAACAGTTTTTTATTTTGCAAATAAAAACGGCAGCTTTGAACGTCATAAAAAATATAGGGCTTATACACTAGAGTAAACCCTTTTGATTAAAAAAAAAATATACGAGTATAAATATTAGTTTAAAATTGACGTAATCATGTAACATAGCTATAAAAGAATCAGATTAAATGAGAAATTGCTCAATAAATACTTATCTAAGCGGTTGAATATAATAAATTATTTTTTTTTTGCTTTAGAATCCATCGTATTGTACTGATACTAACCACAATGTAATCTGCTGGAGTTCTTCGAAAGCCTGTATATAGAACTTTTTCATTTCTTCCATCGTACCTGGAAATAATTAAGTTGATAAGTAGATTTTACTACGAAAATAAGCAGTAGCGTAAGATCTGCCGCTGACTATTGCAGGTATAAAACTTTTCAGTGAAACTTGTTTTAAATGAAAGATGAACGAAAACAATACAACACTCGAATTGCCTACTCTCAGTTAATCGTAAATTATGATTGCTAAATGGCAACCCTAATTTGTGGCGAATTCTATAAGCAACCCTATGTTGTCGTATATAATAGAATCTTAGATTGTATAGAAAGAGTGTCTCCATAGAAATGCTTTGAAAAAAATGGGTTAACTCTTTCATACAATTTGGCGTGATAAATAGTTATGAGTAATTCCTTTATAGCTTCTATATTTACTTGGTCTTATAAATTTTGCACCATTTTGATGCGCAACTTATTTTATTTATTAAATAATTAAATATAGATAGAATATAGATGTACTTATACAAATGTATCGTTGTGTTTGTAAATTGTCTTGCTTATTTCCTATATTGTATAATGCAAATAAAGTATACTCATTCATTCATTCACAATCTACATTCAAAATCAGTATAACGTTGATAAAAAACCAACCTGATTCCCAAGTTATTGACATTTCCGTATACCCCTGCACCGTTGTCAAGGTCTTTGTGGGGGAACTTGACGGCTGACTTTAGCATCCCAAGAGCGGGTCTTATAAGGGTGTGTCCAGGTAGGATCGGTTCTGCTTCTGGTAGATGACTTGGTAACGATGGTGCCCCAAGTATGCTAGATACATCACGACCGTGGCTGTATCTTCTCTAAGGACAAAAAGTAATGTATGTAATAAATTTTCCCCTTGGAAGCTATCATGGTTAATTCCTGGTGAATTCGTCATGATGGGTCAATAATCGAGAGCTTATCATAATCTTTTCTGTCATTCACTGCTAAATGTTATATTCCTCGTAGCAATTGGTAGTATTATCTCTTCTTACGCTGCAATCTCCTATCGGAGGTTGGCAATTAGTATAGCAATCTTAATTTGTCAACTGTTATCTTAAAAAGGGGCTTGGGGCTCATTTCGAACTATATATTCCTTAGTTTTTTTTTAATCAGAATTGGCGACTCCCCGATCTTTGATAGTATTATAAAGAAAACTAGCGGACCCAGCGAACGTTTTTGTTGTAAGGACACCCTAATCACCTTGCGGTGAGAAATATATAACTATGTAACATATATAAAATATTTCATTAAAATCGGTCGAGCATTTTCGGAGGAGTGCGACCATAAACAACATCGTGACATGAGATTTTTAGATAAACATAAAATTTTTACTTTGTAGAATTTCTCTAGATACTATCACTTACTAGATTATTGTCGAATTTTCCAAAGCTTTCTTGGCGTCGTGTCTGAAAACAAAATTATTATGCGGGTGCGTGAATTGGAACGTACTATCATTTTATCGTTTAGAGACACGAGTAAGTATTCTCACAAAGCCTACACCACGTACATGTGACCCGCTGTAGGCACATCTACATACAACCGCGCAGTCTTCTCGATCGCACCTCAAATACAGTTTGTAAAAGGCTACTTCAATCGAAAACGATACGACAACATAACCTTCAAGAAAAGAGCATATTCCTTTTTAAAAGGCCGGCAGCACACCTGCAATACCGTTAGTGTTGTAGGTGATCATGGGCAGCGGTAGTCACTTACCACCAGGTGAGCCGCATGCCCGTTTACCCCCTGTGTTGTTAAAAAAAACATACATCGAAGGACGATTAGATAATTCATAAATATCATGATGTCAGGAAAATTGTCTCTCTTATCGTTTTAAATCATATTTGTAAGTGTGTATTTGATAAAAATTATCAATGCAAATGATTGGCAAAGATTCCATTTGTGTAAGCCTTGCATGCTTGAACAATATGAGTACATATAAAGAGTCTATGACTATCTCTCTTGAAACTTAATACATTTCTGAACATAAGGGAGATTTTATTAGCGAAAAATATTTGTCGTCTTGGTAGGTTAAGGAAATTTACGTGCGCACCGCCGAACGTGCGAGTGCAAGCACCTATAGAGAGACGCTTATACAGCTTGGCCTCTGTGGGGGTCCTTAATCATGTACTTCAACTGTAATATACTAGATATAGTACTGCCATTATCTGAATTTGGAGTTAAATTTACCTAAATTTATATGTGTACTTGGAGTAAAGATATAAATTTCGTCCTTTATCTGTTAAGGAATTTTAAAATAATATTCTATTATTTTTATTATTGTATCAGTTACCAACAGTCCACTATTGAATATAGGCCTATTCTTATAGGGAGGGGGGGGGGGTTGTTAGTAGTTGCCATGCTTGACAGGCAGGTTGACAACCACAGTTAGGCCCTGGTATTGCTTTAAGAGCAACGCTGCTGTCCATCCTTAGTCCATCAAATTTACTTAGTCGCTTCCTAATAAACTCGCGGGAAAGGAAGTGGAGGCCTATTCTATCCCGGGCCCATACGGCAATTAATATTTTTAGTTTATAGTATATATTAGTTTTGGGAGTTATGGAGCATACAGTTTACTTAACTTCGCTTTTTCAACTTGAAATGATAATCAATAATCAGGTGCAGGTTGCCAGTGGCGCCAATAGATGGCATTACGAGCACCATTAACATTATAGATATGACTCTCATGATATTCCATGTGGTTCCCCCTAGAAACCATCATGACTAGTTTATCGTTGCATTCGTCACGATAAGCTAATTGACCTGTCTTCATCCTCATCTCTCATCTTTCACTGATGCCCCGTTAGTGTATCCCGTTAGTGCAGGCGGAGTACCATTCCATTATCATCCATTAAAAAAATGGTCTAGATAACGTGAGAGGTAATTTCGCAGCTATATCGCATCTTTCAAATTGAAACTTAGCTTTAAAATTCAAGAATATTCTCAAATTATCGTGAAATTTGGTATAAAACGCGGATGAAATAACAGCTAGCTATGTATTATAATAAAAAAATACCAGTATATGATCCAATTGTTCCTTGAAAGTTGCCGCATCGCAGTGATAAATAATCTGTATAAAATATATATAAATCTTAGTAATATAACAAATTTGTAATTTATAATATTATTATACGAAACATAGAAATAAGAATGATTACACTGGAAATGGATTGGTATTGAAATGTAATAAACTTCCATGAGAAGTTTGATTTGTCCTCAACATGAGTTATGAGAAGGATTGATGGTATTGATCAATTTTTGATTATTATTATTATTTATTTAATCACAATGAGTCCGTATACTCAAAAATCCAAAGAAACAGAACTTCCCTTTTAGTATCACAGCAAATAATGAAACGGAAAATGTGTAATGAAAAAAAAAAAAATTATATGTATATTATTATTATTAATTTATTTGCTATATTTTAATTAATCATTAAAATATAGTAAACTTTAGCGTGGTTTATACATATTTAAAACTTTTACAGCTAAATGGTACATGTACCTAAACGTCGGCAATGATGAAGCAGATATGTAGGTAACATTTACTTGTAATAGCTTTTACATCGTGTTAAGTCCCGATTGCGTATTCAAATAACATAGTTGTTTTAAAACTATATATAATTAAAAATTATGAATATAAAAAAAAAATCTTACGGTCAAGAAAATATAATATTTAACGACGTCAGCCATGTCTCCACGTTCATAGCTCTTTGCAATAACAACGTAAGTCGAAACAATCAAACTTTGTTCATTTAATTTTAGTGCTATTACAAAGTACAGAACCATGAAAACAATTATTATAAATATCGCAATTATTCAAAAGCCAATTTTTGTTTTCATTTGAAATTGATATTTTTAATTTCGCAGTTCGTTCGAGTTTTGATTAATTGGGAAAACTCTCAACTCTGTTTTCCGTCGAATAAAAATAATTTTGAACCTTATTTCTTTAGATATAAAATTTATTTATTTACAAATTGGAGACGAATAATATTAATAATGTTCATGTATAATAGATAAATAATCATTATATATAAGATTAATTTGAATTAATTTAATTTTTAAGTGATTTTAAACAGAAGGAGTTTTTGACTACACTTTTTATTTGTTTATTATGCAGTCTTCATCAGTTCTTAACAAATTTTGAAATTTTCCATTCGATAAAAACAAATTAATACGAAATGAATATTAATATTGTTACAATTGATAAGACTTTATCTCTGGAATCTTTTATTTTTTATTATTATATTATATTAAAATCATATCTTATCGTATCGAATCGCATCGCATATATCATATCATATTATATATATCAATCGATAATACTTATCGGTTTTAAATTGTACCAGTTGGAATAGTTTAAGGTATGATCAATAAATTTATTGATGTATTTTAAATTTATCTAATTATTTATCTAATTATTACTACTACGTAATGAAAAATATAGTGCACTACTTTTAAAAAGAAAAAAAAACTTAACAAACAAAGTACTAACTTTTTTGAGTAAGTTTAAATTAAAATTCATGGAAATATAACAATATGTTGACTTTATTTAACTTCTTTCTCTTCGTTTTATTTAATTTCTGATAATATTGTCTATATGTCTCTAGGATGTCGTAAGAGATGACTAAGGGAAGAAAGCAAATTTACTAATATCAGAAAAGAAATATCTGAATTTTCAAATTCATTTTTGGATCATCTACACTAATATTAAAAAGAGGAAGGATATGTATTTTTGTGTGTATGTATGTTTGTATGAATAAACTCAAAAACTACTTTGCCGATTTCAAAAATCCTTTTAGCTACATTCACCCTGAGTAACATCGGCTATATTTATTGCTAGAAAATATTAGGGATCCTTACTAAAACTTTAGTAACGTAACTTAAGGTGTAAAAAATGCTATAAAATATCTTTCGTCGCGTGCGCTGCGGAAACTATTAGTGATAGAACTAAAGTATGTTCTATAATATTTAAGAAAATATCAATAAATAAAAAAAAACTTCGCGATACCATGCATTACAGCAGTGTGAGAGAGGGGCAGGCATATCTATGAAATAGGTAGCTAGGTAGGATTAGATAAAAATGTAAAATGTTGTAAAAAGTCCACTCGTGCGAAGCTGGAACGGGTCGCTAGTCTAAAATAAATTGCTACTCGCTTCGGGTAAGTCTCGTCTTCGACGGATTTTTATGAAGGCAGTCGAGAAATTCTTGCCATTCAATGACGATTCTCTAATGTAGAGAACGAAAACTCAAAGTAAAAAGCTATTACAAGCCGCTTGGCTACTGTGTTATATCCTTAATTTATGGGCAGAGATTCATATTCAACTGTCGATGTCAACGAGTTCTTAACATAAGGCTCTTTGAATGAAATAACGTAAAATTGGGTCGAAATTTTATTTTTCACCATTAGTAGCTTTTCAATAGTGTGAGAAAAGTTATCATACCTATACCTTATTCTTCAATAGAATAATCGTAGTGATGTACCCAGTTGGCCCTTTACAACCAAATTTAAAAATTATTTTGTATGTTTGTTACCTTAGAACTCCGTTAATTACAGCTGATTTGGAATTTATTTTTTTGACAGGATATACTTTCAGATTAGTTCAATAGAAGTTTCATTAGTAGTTTGGTTCGTAAATCAAAAGCAATGGATTTGCTACAAATAAACAAAAACTTTCTGTTGTATTCAAGATGATGCAAAGTAAGAGATGGACAGCCTCCCTTTTAAAATAACCGGCAGCGCACCCGCAATGCTGATGGTGTTGTAAGTGATCATGTGTGGCGGTAGTCACTTACCATCAGGTGAGCAACATGCTCGTTTGGCCTCTGTGTTGTAAAAAAAAATCTCCAAAGCCTAACTGCTGTTGCAAATCTGCCTGTCATGCCTGTTTGTAACTACTGACAAAACCCTCCTAGAGGGAGGTTTATGTTCAGCAGTGGACAGTTAAAAGGTGATATGATATGATGACGAAGGGAAAAAAAGAAATAGTGAAACAGAAATATATGTATACATAAGATTAAATTCGAATATTATTGAACTTAAAACTTACATTTGCGTATCGTGCATCCAATTTCTGTTTATTGAGTGTTCACGTATCTGGGTAACTAGTAGATATTAGAGTATTCTAATAAAGAATTCGAGTATTGTGATACTCGAATTCTGATTTCGAATATCGTGCATAGTGTTGTGAATGTTCTGTATATCGAGTATTTAAGTCAACCTGGCTTAGAACATCACTACGCTCGGTGCAGTACGATTGTGAACGTACTGAAATCTTTTTCAATATTTGCCGTGTTCAGGAAATGGATTTTTGTAAAGAGATAGCGTGAATGTTTGAAACAACTAAACTGCGATATATCGGTTTGAAATTTGAACAAACCCTATTTAGTTGTTATCTTACGAATTCGGTATAAACCAGTGTAACGGATACTTTCTTAAAGGCAATAGTCACTTTTATATTAAGATATTCTATTAATATTATAAATGCAAAGATTTGGAAAGATTTGTTATTTTTTCATGCAAAAACCACTATTCGGATTTGATTGAAATTTGGTACACGGATAGGTTAGCACTAACTAGTTAACTTAGCGCTTAGGGGAATTTATCTACTGATTCATGAGGGAGAAGCCGCGGTATATGACTAGTCATTATAAATCCTACTACTATTATAATTTTGTGTTGTATGGATAGATGTTTGATACCAAATATACTGTTATGATATCTGGTTACACAAACATTACTCGAAACCAGGGTAAACCAATGGGTCGCTAGCACCGCGGCGCTAGTGAGACGTACATTATTAGATTCTAGGACTCGAGTAGGAAAAAAAAAACTAAATTATTAGTTTCCGACTACATTAATTTTCATTACTGTACAAACGCAACAATTAGACAATTATTTGTTTATTTACAGATTTAGTTACAGATTATTCAATATAGAAATCTCGTCATAGAATGGAATACCCCTTCCTTTTCCGTTGGTGTCCTAAGAGGGGACTAAGTGAGAGTGAGGAATGGGCAGCAGTGTCCCTTTTAAAACATCTGTAAAAGCCTAACTGCGGTTGTCAACCTGCCTGCCAAGCGTGGCAACTACTGGTAAAACTCCCTTGATGGTGAAGGCTTATGTTCAGGAGTGGTCAGTTAACGGCTGAAATAATAAAATAAAAATAATAATAATTAATTGACAGATAAATTCGATGTTGCCACACATCGGCACGAACGCTCTTAAATAGACTCACGATTATGTTAAAAGAAAAAAGAACGTTAGACCTCAACAATGGACTTTTTAATTCGGAAATACCTGCATTCATGAGATTTATAATAGAGCTCCAAGTTTAATTCATTGCTTTTTTCTTTTGTATGACCGATATCCAGGATTATTACGGGCTCTGCCCTACTGAAGTCCAACAAACTTTATGGTAATTCCAACAATATATACAAATAATTATACATTTTACTGAATTAGGCATTATCTACCACCATATCACAGACTGACCTGGACAAGGGTATATTGCTAGCAATATACCCTGTTAGATCGACCTCCACGTGGACCCCCTGGAAACCTATGTGCTGAATTCCAGGTGTATTCATCACGTTGTGCTTAGTGACCTGCCTTTTCTATTTCACCTATCATCACTCACTGGTGCCCCGCCAGCGTATACCGTTAGCGTAGGCGGGTTTTACAGTTCCATTAACATCCATTGAAAAAAACACCATAGCCTCAAGAATGGCAACGCAAGAGGGGAATCATAGGTGGCATAGTCCACTCTATTATGTCCATGGTACTGTTCACGTCTATAGACGACGGTTACTACTATCCATTAGGTGGGCCGTCAGTTCTCTTGCCATTTTAAGTTGCATAAAAAAATCGTTTACTTATATTAAAATTTAACATATACCATAATTGATACTTTTTATACTAATCAATGCGGGAAAAGTCACCGAAGTATAAGTATTATATATTTAAAAAGTCACATATCTGCGTATGTGCCGAAATTACCCCTTTTACGTTCGTAATAAGCCGAAAAAAAATATGGGAAATGTCAAGCATTGACCGTGACGGGTTGACATTCATGATTTTGCTTCGTTAATAATCGTGAAAAAGTGCGCAGTAAGTAGAAAAATTGTCGAAATTTATTCCGTGGAAGCAATGTTTCTTATTTAAGCGACTTTCAAAATATAAAAGGATTGACTCTGACGCGTCACTTCTCTGAATCTATTTCTAAATTTAAAATTTCAATTTGATGTTACAGCGTAACCTTTATTGTGAGAATCGATATGAACTAAATTTCTAATGAAGTCAAAATTATTTATGACGGTCAATAAATTAGGTAATTTCGCTAAACTATCAAGTTAAAGTTAAAATTGATTGGGGTCATTTAAATTCTATGTAAGGACCAATATGAATTAATTTTTGAAAAGATTTAAGTCAAAGTTATTATAATTATAATTTATGATTGTACATAAAATATAGTAATCGCGCGAAATTAACAAATTAAAATATTAGGAGAAAAAATAGCTATAGAGAAATAGTGCCTTAGAATCGGTACCATTCTCAGATGTCTGATTTGCTTTAAAAAGTATAGTAGAATGATATTTCAATTAAAACACACCAAATATACACATAATTTATTAATTTTCTCTTGTAATTATTATCATCTTATTGGTTTATAGTTATCCTGAAAAAAATAATAAATGATACAAAATTTATAATAAATATCTAGTGTACTAAAAATATATCCACAATTAGCCTCTTTTTATCTGATAAATGATGATGATGATGATGAGGTGATGTATTTTTTATACCACGAAAGTGGTAAACAGATATACAGCTCTGCTGATGGTAAGCGATCACTGTAGCTTGTGGACGCATGCAACACTAGGGGTGTTACGTGCGCGTTGCTAACCCTGAAGAAACCTTAATATTCCATTTTTAAAAAACTCTAACTATATACTGTAATCTCCAGGGAAAACCTCGGCAGGGAGCTCATTTCACAGCCTGAGCGTTCGCGGGGAAAATTCTATTGAAATATATGTATTGCAATGAGGATATTTATTAAATTCAGTAATATGTGACCAAAATGGTCTGATAATATGACATAGTAATAATAGGAGTATTATATATAATAACGCTACCTTTTTTAGATATGTTGACTGACTGAAGTAAAAAACTAGCTTATAAATTTCTCCATCCTATGTAATACATATATATCAAATTTTAAGTAATTGGTTAAGCCAGGTTGAGTATCTTCATTCTATTCATGTTTTTGCGAATTAGTTATGTTTCGGTTTGAAAAATGTAATATGACAGTGAAATTACAGGGTACAAAGGCATAATATCTCAATCTTCAGGAATGGAAACACATGTAGAGTATTTTATTTTTTTAATGCGTCATAATGGTATGATAACCTCAGCTGCGCTATCGGTATATGGTACGCTGGTGCTCCACCAGTGAGAGATAATAGGTGACGATGAAAGTAGGTCAGTTAGCCCGTTACGACAAATTCCAGAATTAACCCTGATAGTTTCCAGCGGAACCGCGTGGAGGTCGACTTGATAGGGTATATTGCTAGCAGTGGGTCAGCTAGAACCTATTACTACATGAAGGGTATCATGGTAAAACACCGCATACATGTTATGTCCACGGTATTGTTCATGTCTATAGACCACAGTTATTACTTTCCATCAGGTGGGCCGTCAGCTTGTTTGTCATCTTAATTTGCATATATGTATATATATATATATATATATATATATATATATATATATATATATACCTCTATATATATATGTATGTACCTCTGAGATATAATATGACAGACTAAATATAGCAGCCTTAATTATCACTTAGCGTAGATTACTTCGCTTCAAAAAGGTAAGCTTCGATTTTTTTACATTACGTTTTTCTTAGTAATTATTGAATGATTTCTACATGTTAAAATCGAAATAGATTGTATTCTTTGAAGTGATTGTTCTACTAATTAACAGATTTAACGCCACTTTACTCTGTAATTTAATTGCCCTATGTTTTTGCATTTAATTTTCGAGGAAAGTTCCAGCAGCTTATTTTATTTTATTTTATACAACTTAGAATGGTAAACAAGCTGACGGCCCACCTGATGGAAAGTGGTAACCGTCGCCTATAGACATGAGCAATATCATGGACATAGCAGAGTATACTGTTTCGCCCACGATACCCCCATGCGTTGCCATTCCTGAGGACTCAGGTGTTATTCCTCTGTACCCTGTGAATTCACGCCATATCCCACCCTTCAAACCGAAACACAGCCATGCAAACACAACTGCTTCACGGTAGAAACACGAATGGGACAGAGGTACCCAAGCAATCGACTTTTGTACAAAGTCTCCCTCTGGTAGCTTATCTTAACCAAAATTATGGCAACGGTCAATGCTAAAGCAATCTCATTAGGGTGTATTTAATATAGAAAATAAAATTTTAATTTTTAAAACAAATTACCTGATTAAAGTACCACCACTTTCGGCCAAAGAATAGATCAGCTCCAGAAGGACCCAGATTGTTAAATTGAGGCGCATAAAGGTTTACATTCATACGATCACCGTCCATCTAAAACGTAATACCATACATATGTAAATATGTAAATAACTTTGGTTTTGTAACAGTTGCCACGCTAGGCAGGCGGATTGGAAAACGCAGTTAGGCTTTGGTGCTGTTTTAACCCTTTTAGAGCCATTGATTTTTACTCATATCTATGTACTTAAAAATGCCAAAGAAATCATCGTCGTGTTGATGTTATTTACCCTTGTCTCTAAAAAAACTGTATCTCCTCCAAAAATTATCCAATTTTAATATTATTTTTTTTACAGCAAGCTAAACAGCGACTGATTTCTCTAGCGCTATGACGCTCGTGGCAATTTTAGTTGCAATGCGCACGAGCGCGTAGGCGCTCGTCGGCACTCAAAGGGTTAAGAGACTTTTTGATATCATGATTTTAGATTTAAGTACTACTAGACACCGAAGGACTGTTTTATGGAGTAGTCAATTAATTATTTGCATTTTTAGTAAGCTCTGTTGTAACCGACATAGTATACTTACATAACGATTCCAAAGCCAGTTTTGCTTATACTTGTTTTTGTGGACAGTGTTACCCGGGTTCTTCTCGTCTGAAGACGAGCCAGACAATGAAGATGCTGATGATGATGATCCAGATGATAATGCTGATTCACTAGACCTATTAGATTTGTTGGATTTGCTTGAAGTACTGTATTTATTTCTGTGTCTATATTTTTTTTTCTTATTTTTTCTATGTCTTCTTAAGTCGCCATTCTTAAAAAAAAAATATGAAACATAGATATTAAATTACATAGATGTTACATTCCCATATATTATTTTAATAATGAGTCTAAAAATGATGTCAATGAACTTATTTGAGTTTACTATGATTAAATAATGATAATTAAAAATATCGTTTTAGAGTTGCTATTAATGTCATAGAAAAAATAGAGGATTAACAATAACAGAATTACAAATAATATTTCTGGGGGAATATTAAAAATTTGACAGGTTTAGGTTAAGTCCAAACGGGTTGGTTTTATTCGGTCGGCTTTCAGTGCCGACTTGACAAGCAACTCGATTTAATGTGTAAAACTGTTGAGTTTTAAACGATTAACTATTAAATATCTCTTATAATTTAGTTCTTTTTTTTTTGTATACAACTTAGAATGGCAAACAAGCTAATAACGGCCCACCTGATGGAAAGTGGTAACCGTCACCTATAGATATGAGCAGTACCATGGACGTAACAAAGTATACTGTTTCGCTCATGATACCCCCCATGCGTTGCCATTCCTGAGGACTCAAGTGTTATTCCTCTGTACCCTGTAAATTCACGCCATATCCCATCCTTCAAACCGAAACACAGCCATGCAAACACAACTGCTTCACGGTAGAAACACGAATGGAACAGAAGTACCCAAGCAATCGACTTTTGTACAAAATCTTCCTCTGGTAAAGTTGTAGGTAATGTTTCTTATTATCTTGAGATTGAAAAAATTGCCAACTAATAATATTCTTTATATAATAACTAACTAAATAACACACTTGACACCGACTGCAAATATATCGTCATAGTCGTAGAATACTGACGGATCTTTATATGTAATCTTTGTCAGATCCGTCAGTATTCTACGATTATGACGATATATGGGTTGAATTGAAAAGTAATTTTTTCAATTTGTAAGATAAATTTTTCAAAAAAGGTATTTAAGTTTCTCAAATGTAGGATTAAACATTAGGTAAATATTTTCGAATATTTTCACGACCTATAGAGTTTAGTCATGAATCGTTTAATTATTGTGTAAATTAATATATTTGTGTTATCTATATCTATCTACATCTATGCTTTGTAGTTTCCCATAGATTCTACTGTCAGTTCGTGGCTTCGATCATAATGGGCTAAACCCAGGGGTAAACGATTATCCTCTTGAGACCTATTGAATACCCGGGTCGCGGCCTTTATCGGGTTGTGACACATGCTGAGATGGGTCCCTTACATTCACCATCGCAAAAATAATTGAGGTGACATACTTTTTCTAAAATTTTTATGCCATGTTTATTTACTTCTACTACATAATAAGGCTTGACCGAGATTGGGAAAGTGATAGTTAGTAATGGGGACTAGCGACCCCATTGCTAGTATTTTTTTAATGGATGATAATGGTATAGTAACCCCGTCTGCGCTATCGGTATACAATGGCAGGGCACCAGTGATAGATGACTAATAAGGATGAAAGCAGGTCAGTTAGCCCATCCTGAAGAATTCAACTAGAATTGACGGTATACCGGCAGTGGTCCTAAAGCAGTGTGCTCCGGAATTGTGTCCTGTATTAACGCGTCTCTTCACGATCTCGTACTCCACAGGGCAATTTCCTTCGACATGGAAGACCACCCTTGTACATCCTGTACCTAAAAAGATAAGTCGGACCCTTCAAATTACAGACCGATTGCGAAAGGTGATGGAGCGTATAGTTAATGCACAGCTGTTAAAATAGAGGATCACGACCCGCCAATATGGCTTTCGCCATAGTCGCTCAACTGGTGACCTCTTGGTATATCTTACGCACCGATGGGCATCAGCCATTGAGAGTCAAGGTGAGGCGCTTGCTGTCGGTCTTGATATTGCAAAGGCATTTGACCGGGTCTGGCATCGGGGTCTTCTATCGAAATTGCCCTACTATGGACTTCCCGACAGCCTCTGTAAATGGGTCGCCAGTTTTTTATCCGGCAGACGTATAAAAACCGTTGTAGATGGTTGCTGCTCCGATAGCATGGATATTAACGCTGGCGTCCCGCAGGGCTCTGTGCTGTCCCCAACGCTGTTTCTACTGCATATTAATGATATGTTAACCTTCGTCTGCGCTATCGGTATACAATGGTGGAGACCAGTGAGAGAACACTAGATCTCTGATTGGGGACGACAAAACTTGGTCCAATTTAAGACACAAGCTTGCGCGTTCACTGAAAGCACAGTTCCAAGTCAACATCTCTAAAAGCATTGGGATCCTTGCGACATCTCTAGTGACGTAAGAAGATAAGGTTCATCCAAAAAACTCGGTGTGCTCAACAGCGATTAATGCTTTACAAATCGCAAATCCGGCCCCACATGGAGTAGCTGTCACTTATGGGCCACCTAGATACCAGCTTGAACCCTTCGACTCAGTGCAACGACGAGCTATGAGACTTGTGTCTTAGGAGAGATTTTGTCACTCTGCGTGTTCTACCGCTTATAAAACGGATTGTGCTCAGAGGAATTATTCAATATGATGCCTACGGCCACTTTCTATCATCGTACGGCTCGCCATCGGCAGGGAGTTCACCCTCATACCTTACAGCCTAAATGGTCGCGTACAACGCGGTTTCAGAGATGCTTTCTCCCACGAACACTCAGGTTATGGAATGATTGCTAGTAATTCTTCAAAAGGGGCGCGAGTTATTTGACACCATAGGCTAACAACCATCCCGTTTCCCACCCATTGCTAGTATTAGCAGTAGCTAGTGATCAGGTTGACCACCGCACGGTTTCTCAGACAAATCAATGCGTTAATGATAACAAATTTAAATATTAATAAATATTACAAAAGGGCTTGAACTACTATTTTTTTGCAATTTCGGAGATATATTGTCTTTGATGATAATGCTTTGTATTTATTATATATTTATTATTATTATTATATATTTATTATATATTATTGTATTATTATTATATACTTTAGTCGTCAAATTATATATTAAACCTTGAAAATGAATATTGCAAAAACCAACCACTCTCAAAATCAATTTTGCTTTCCTTCATTTTCTTGTAATTTATAGTTATATAATATAAAAATGACATGGTTTTCGAAATAAACTATTAAAATACTTAGAAGTAATAATAACTTTTTAAATATGGCAACAATAAATTTAAATACCTTCACTTCTTCAAGAGACAAGGAGCTGTAATAATAGAGTTTAATACATTGATATATTAATTAAAATTATCTAGATAAGAAAAATTAATTAAATAATTAATTAATTTAGAAAAATCAACAGGGTGTAGTCGAGAAGGGGACAAATGTTTGGACACTTGATACGACAAGACGAACTTATGAACATTATAATAGAAGGTAAGATAGAAGGAAGGAGGGAAAGAGGGAGACCGAGACATAGTTACATTTATTTATTCTTTATTGACCACATTACAAAAAAAATGTCTGGTACAAAAGGCGGACTTAATACTATATAGGATTCTCTCAGGCAGATCAAGGAAGGAGTTGGTATCGTGTCGTATCAAGAGGTGAAGAGACTCGCTGAAAATCGTAGTGAGTGGCAAGAGCTCCACCAACAAGAGCGCAGCTCTTAAATAGGATAGATAGATAGTCGAGATCATAGAAAGGATCGAAAAATGACAAAAATATTTGAGCCCTTCAAAATGTTAGTGTGAAGGGCTAGATAGGTGGATTAGTCATGCTAATATGGCGGCTTAAAACTTTTTTGTTGTTTTCAACCTTTAATACTTTGAGAAAAACGTTCAGTTGTGTTTCACTATTAGAATACTCTCTTAAACAGAACATCAAGTATTAAATATGTCCCAGTTAAATTCAACCAACAATCGGCTGACTGTTTGTTTTATTTTTTATTGCTTGTTTATTTATTTGTTTTATTTTTCATGTTATACGTATAAGGAAGTCTGAAAGTCTATGATGACCTGGTGAACTATGTATCAACTACAACATAATCTATTAAAAATAATTGTGAATAGCGATTTCCATACAAAAAGCCTGTTTTTAATTTTTCGATTTTTTTGTCGAATTTTAGGGGTTTTTAGACTTTTTTTCCTTTAAACCATCTGTATTGTAACGAACGAAATAAAAACATATTATGACAGCATGCTGAAGTCCAGTATTAGTTCATTAATAATCGATTTATTGATTATTAATCAATAAATTGCTTTGTGGTACCAGCATAGAATGGGCCATTTACTGTCCCGTGTGTGTTGCAAAAAGCGACTAAGGGAATTTAATGGTCGAGGAATATAAAAAAATAATTAAGCCGTTTCTGTTAAAGTATAATATTTATAGGGATCACCTTATTAATATTTCGAACGTCCGCTCCATCTATACGATATTGATCTGGGCAAAATTAAAAAAAAAATCTTTTTGTATAACTTTAATATACTTACTCGTCTAAGATTTCGTTCGCGTTATTTTCCTTTTCTGAAAGCTGAGATCAGTAAATTAATATCTATTTACATTCAATTTTAGTCAAAGTGTAACAAATGTAGGGCGAAAAGGGATTGTTAGTAATAGAGACTGAGAATCCCATTGCTAGCAATATACCCAACCAGGTCTCCTCCTCGCGGTTCCCCCTGGAAATTATCATGATTAATTCCAGATGAATTCATCATGATGGGCTAATTGGCCTATTTTCATCCTCATTGATCACCTTTCACTGGTGCCCCGCCAGCGTATCCCATTAGCACAGGCGGGGTTACCATTCCATTTTCATCCAATAAAAAAAATCCCTACCCATTGTAAGAAATAATTATAAAAATCGATTTACAGATTGTATCGCGTAATAAGGAAGTGTATTTTTCATTGTAAAGAAGTTTTATAATGAGATGAAAATAGAATGGTAACTCAGTCTGAACTAGCTAACTACATATAATAAGGGATCTACCATTTTTAATCAAATGTTTGATCAAATCAATTCAGTTGTCAAGTGTGATTGAGTAACAAGAATCTCGAAGAACACACTCTTTATTGTTTCCTCCAAAAACTAGTAAACTTATTATAAATACAAACAATTACAAGAAAAAAATACACTAATAAGGTTACATCAATACATATACATAATAAAATCGTAAGTGGGCGATGTCCGTACATAAGAAAGAAGATGTATAAGAAAAACTATTATAGGGCTTTGTATACGCAATTGAACTTAAAACAATGATTTTTAGAATTTTTGTTTATTTGTCTGTATGTTTGTTTGTCTGTACGTTTGTGAACGTTAATCTCAGAAACGTCCTAACCGATTTGAATGCTGTTTTTTTTTTCACTAGTGCGTTGCGTTTTGTTCCATTTAATATTTAGTTAATTTTCTTTCATACGGTTCATAAACGAAAAAGTTATATTAATTTAAAAATTCACATATTAAATGCTATTAAGTAACCGATCAGTTGAATTGGCTGAAACTGTTTGTAGTATATGCATAGATTTTCAAAAATTCTGTCTTTTCGTATGAAGCCGGTTCGGATCGCTGGTTTATAATATTAGTAGACACTATCTCATACCTGCGATATCGAACACGTAGATATTGTGGGTAGATAATAAAACGTACTAAATCTCAAGTTCGATCTTTAGGTACACAAATGTTAAAACCGCATGAAAATTGGCGCAGTAGATTTATGTGATACCGTACCAATCATACATATAGACACAAATTTTAAAAAATTGTTAAAACTTAAGATTAGCCAATGTACGAGTTTTTACAACAACGTATACAATAATTAAATTGTAACAGACATCGTTTAGTAACATTTTTATAATAGTAATTAGTAATGACTAAAGAAAATAATAAATATTATGTTAAAACAACATTTGCAACCCGTGATTGATGATTAAGATAATAATGGCTGTATCTAAGGATAATTTCCCATGGGAGGCAATGAAGCGTAGTATGAAATCTTAATGAGGAGATAGTCAATTTTGGGCTATAGTACACGCTAATATTTGGATCTCAACATGTTTTATATTTTATTGAACTAAGTTTTATTTTGCGAAAGTCTTTATCACTGTTTTTTAAATACACAATCGGGACTTAAAGCGATGATAAATTTTTTTCAGGTAAAAATTACGTACATATCGGTTTCTTTATTGCCAATGTAGCTAAATGTGTACCTATATACCTCGATTTGCCTATTGTGTATTTAAAATATGTATAAACAGCGTGAAAATTTAAAATTAATCATTTCATTGTTTAATAGACATGAGTAATATGGATACCGATCCGATATTCCCCTGGAAATTGTAAGCGAAAAAAAAAATTTTTTTTCTCATTTCGATATCGCCCATGTCGGTCAGTAAATTTCCGAATATGTTAAAAGTCTGTTATCCAATATTATTTTATGGATAACAGACTTCTAATATATTTGTTATTAGACCAGTATATAGATATTGTAACTGAAATATATAGATTTTGCTATATATATTTTTTTTGTTGGATGATAATGGATTGGTAACTCCGCCTGGGTCAACGGGATGCGCTGGCGGAGCACCAGTGAAAGGTGATCGATGAGAATGAAAACAGGTCAGTTAGCATATCATGATGAATTCATCAGAAATTAATCATGATAGTTTCCAGGGGAAACCGCGTAGAGGTAGACCTGGTTAGGTATATTGCTAGTAATTGGATTTTTAGTCAC